TTGAGCCACAGAAAAATAACATACCCAATTGTAAAAAATTTTGGAACCAGAATTTGCAACAGTTTCAGAGATATGACTATCTCCACACTACTGTGTAGAAACACTGAGACACATTGGCAACTAGAACTGTTTTTTATAGTTTTTCTGTGTTATGTCACCTGTCATAGTTCTGGGCATTTCAGAAAGTTTCACAAGACAGTTATTAACAGATTCATGCCACATTCCATTCCCCCATGAATAAAAGTCCAGAGTTATATTTTGAAAATGAATAAATTAATAACTTAATTATTGATAAATTAATAAATGTGTTATTAAATTAAGAAAACCAGTTGCTCTGAAGTCAGTTCTGGATCATGGTGAGTCAGAGTAGAACTGTGCTGCATAGGGTTTATGGCTGATTTTCTGAATTGATTGCCAAGCAATCTCCTGAGGCACCTCTCAGCAGACTCAGACTCTCAGTCTTTCAGTTAGTAGTCAAGTGCACTAATCACTTGTACTGCACTACTGAAAACCACTGCCATGAAGTTAAGTCCAACTCATAGTGACCCTACTGGACAGAGTAGAACTGCCCCATAGGTTTTCTAAGGCTATAAATTGCAAGTCTTTATGAAAGCAGATTGCCTTATCTTTCTCCTGCAGAGCAACAGGTGAGTTTGACTGCCAACCTTTTGGTCAGTAGCTCAATGCTTTAACCAAGTGCCACCAGAGCTCCTTTTTTTCCCCCCACATAGGAACCTATTAATTGAGATTTTGTCCACACTTCTCAGCTCACTTGTATTTAAAGAAATAGTTCATCCTTACCTGATTTGTTCAGATGGACTACATTACCATCTCCCATATAGATTGCCCAATGCTTATAGGCAACACGAGAAATTGCAATCAGGTCTCCAGGTTGTGGATTTTGGCACGACTGCAACAGAAGAAAAAGAATATGTAGACAGACTTGGAAACACCAGAGACCTGGCTGAGGGTAGCTGCAGGTCATAGCAGACTGTCATTGCTTTCATCACCTTGTAGGAACTTTGGAAAGAGAGACCTCAATGACCATTAAAATACCAGCTCTTCTGACACTCTCAGAGGACACCCCTAGTGGGGCACCAGGGACAGGAAGCCTGGGTAAAAGACCATTGAAAGCTGAAGGGCTGGGTTTGTTCCTGATGTACATCTGTTTCATGAGCACTTGTGTGTGTGCATTTAAAGGTATCCTTTATGATTGCTTCTATTTGTATGAATAAAACACGCATATGTCTTTACATGCAAGACCAGCATACCTATATGAGTAAATGTCCTCATTATGAGTAGGAAGCCCAGACCTACCCTGGGCAAAATTTGAACTTTGGCTGTGGAAACCTTGTCTTATTTTTAGACCAGCCTTCAGGGCACTGGCACATTCATCCTTCCCCATAGTTTTTCATACCGCATTGAGTATTCTCCTCCTCAAATTTCCTCCCCAGGCTCAGACCACCCATCTCTAAGAGTTGAAATCCTGAGAGATAGAAATGGAAGAGTTCTTAGGGCTACACAGTGAGCAGAAGAGCCAGGCTCCAAGCATTGTGGAGACCACACAGCTACCAGCAATGTAGCCAGCAGCTGGTAACCACACAGTGCTCAATCAGTTGTGCCCCAAGGCACCATCAGCCAGGACACAGCAGGACACAGCGACATTTTCCATCTAGGGAGCACACAGCAGGACTTTTCATCCCATTCAGTCTCATTCTAATGTTGTTGTTGTT